AATACAGGTTTACCCAGTCAAGGCTTGTTTTAGTTGAAGGTGAAAATGGAAGAGGGAAAAAAATTACTTGGGACAGATCTTAGTATTTCTCTTTTTATTGCATTCGTTGTCTAACAACAATAATACTCATTGGCAAGAAATTTATTTACACTAACGAATTAAATGGAATCACAGGTATTTTTAGATGGGTCAGAAAACAAAGGGCCACTGTGATGTTTTGCTTTGAGTGCCTCTGAAAACCAAAGAGTAAGAAATGTTGTTTGAAACAGAACAATCTAGAGAAGTACGTACTAACCAAGCACACGAGAACAATGCAGACGAGGCACTGCTGTCTCTTCCATGCAAATGACCAGACACCAGAAGGTACAAATTAAAATTTTCAGATAACATGCTGTCCATACTCACTGGACTTAAAATGGTTTCCAAACAACTCTTTTCCTTTAGTGACACATAAAGAGAGATGAAAATAAATCAACTTCTCAACAATGGAATAGAATTCATTCTCTCTTTTTTCTCTTTTTAGCTGGCCAGTTTTGTTAGTAATATGTAGCAGGTGTACCAGTGGTTTAATTGCAACACCATTAAAAAGTACAAAAGCAGTCATGATGACCATAAATAAATATTAAGGAAAACATATACAGACATATTTAAGGGTTTTCACTAAGCACTAATTAAATCTGATGTTGTTGGGAGGTGTTACCTAGCTGGAGTGCCTCTTAATTCCCACTTTTTAAGGTAATTTGATTATTTTTGGCTAATTGTCCTTTCAAGGATGAAAGATTAAATTCTTAACAGAAAACCTGGGTGTGTGAATCGGGTAGCTGAAGGAGACAGAAGTGTACACCTTCCAACAACATACTCATGCTCACATCCGCTTGGATGTATTTGGTGATGACCTAACCAGTCATCACTCCACAAAAGAAGTAAAGAAATGGTCACGTGATGGCAACGCTGCCATCAGAGAGCCAGTCGTTAGTGGCTTAAGCATCACAGCGACCAAATACATCATTTTAGAATCTGCGCAAATGCACAAGAATACACAGTGCAATTTTTATCCAAGGGAACTGCAGTCTGCAGTTGAAAACACCCAAAGCTGCATAAACTCTGAGCTTCCACTCAGCAATGTGCAATCTTGACATCAATGCATTAACCAAACATGTGAGGAAATGTCATCTTACTAAAATACCAAGAATTTAGTAAATGAATTTTACCAAAATATATAAACAAGTAGAAGGATAAGTGCATTTAGTAGAAATACATTAAAAAAATTTCTTAAAATCTCATCTCATGAGCCATTCAAGGTACACACGCACACGAAGTGGCAATAAGGCTATGATACTGCTCGGAGTCCTATCTGACGTTACCAAGTCCCATGTACAATACGTATTTTTAATGCCATGTGATTGTGGTGTGTGTATGTACGGCGGGAGATGCAGTCACACGTATGCAGTTCTGTACATCTACACAAACGGCATGCATATGCTTGGGAAGTTGCCTCTTGTTCTCTTACTCCTTACCTATTCATTCGTGAGTCCCTAATGATGCGGAGGTTGGGGCTGGAGTGGGGCCAAGGCTTGGGGATCATCAGGTTTCTTTCCTTCCCTACTTTGTAGGTCTGGGAGCAGGTCCCATGGCACACTTGGTCCACACACTCACATATGTGAGTCTTCAAGGTACCACCATTCTCCAGCACATCCACACAGACACCAGCCACTAGCACGTAAGGACCCTCTTGTCCTGTAAGGTAGAACCTGATGTTGGCGTTTTCCAGGGGAGTTGTTTCTTTGGGCCTGCTTCTTGGCCTGACAGCTTCTTGGTAGGGTCTGTGCTTTGCTGCTGCTTTAAGTGCTACTTGTGTACTGTCTGGTGTTACTTTTTCCCCAAATGTTTTGGGCTGAGACTAAATTTCCTGAGACTTCAAACGCCTAAGACAAATATAAATAAGATCTGCCCGTGTACACAGGCTGCTCTCCAGGAGTGAATCACTGAAGCGCGTATGCATTTCTTACAATGCTCTTTCCTTTCGAGAATTTACTCCCCACCTCTGTCATCATAAGGAAGACAATTCTAATAGAAAATATAGACATTTTATTTCTGGACTTTCTCCCTAAATACTTGGCTTCAGGACAGTGTACTGGTAGATCCTTGATTAAAGGTAAACTGGGGAAGATAGTTTAAAAACTGGGCTTCTTTTCCATTTTACCTTTTCATTTAGAAAGCACTGAGGACTTCTTGGCGTTAAGCAGGTGCCGTGAACCCTAGAGGCTGCTGTCCATGAGCTGAAGTGTCCCTCAGCTGCAGCTCCAGTGGGGACAGTAAATGCAGTCACTCCAGTGGAAGTTGGTACCTCTGAACTATCTCAGTGTGACGAGGGGCTGCGTCACATCCGCAGCAGAGAGACCCCATCACCGGGACACTTCCCTTTTGAAGCTGCCTGAATCCTGTGCTCAGACATGAGCCTCCTCTCCTGCGGCTTGAGCTGTGCAACGTTTAACACTTCCAAATGAGTTAGAATCACCATATAAAGGTGAATTTTCATTTCCCTTTTAAAATATAATTTTAAAGCAGCTGTCTTCAGCAAAAGCCATGAAGGCTATTTAAGGTGCTAGATCCAACCACCCAGCTTGGGGCTGCAGCTGGGGCCTTGGGAGACCTGAAGATTTCAGGGTGGCGGTAACCACAGGATGAGAGGTAAGCAGCCATTTGGTTTCTCCCTTGTCCTCTTGCCCCTTTGTTCCCAACAAGGACAAAGAAGCACTAGGGGGCTGTTCCCCTTTCGGGCCCCTTAGAAGCAGAGTGTGGAGTTGGCACCTGTCACACTGCAGTCATGAACCGTTGTGGGTTAAAAATGCTTACGTGATGCTGAGGGCGGGAAATCCACGTCAGTCCCAGCTGAAGGGGAACCACACAGAAGAGCTTTGTGGTCATGAAACTAACAGTGGACGCCATCAGCGTGTTAGGATGGGTAAAGTTAGGTTTCTACCCTAACACATCACGCGACAGTCAACTTCTGATGCAAGGAAAGAAAGGAGGAGAAAACTTTCCCATAAACTCTGAGACACTTGAAGGGAGATAGTCTTACCTAAAGTGATCCAAGTCCTTTCATGGACACCCTGCCCCAGACATTCAGCCCACACAATGCTCTCGGTCTACAGCTTGGCCTCACCATAATCCCAATCCCCGTCCCCCAAAGCATTACCTGTTTCCCCAAAATGCTTGTGGCTGTTGTTAGAGTTGTACTGAGCTGTCATTTAGGGAATACAGCTTATAATAACCAGATAGTCCTTTTTTGTCCACTTCTGGTAAATTAAAAAAAACTATAAAGCCCTTAAAGTTCATGAAGCAACAATTCTGTGTTAAATTGTAAGGACACTGAAAACCACTAGCATGAAAATAGGAATCGTGTAAGATGCTCAGCCAGGCCTCATGCACTAGCGTCAGGAAAGGAAAAACAGGAAAACACGTTCACAAGGTCTGAGGTCCTTCACTTTGTTTTCATACCCTTTTCTCAGGCAGTTTACATCTTACCCTTTGTTGGACAATCAAATCAAGTGCCTTTTACAATTTCAGCAGTTTTAATTAGTAATTAAAATAACTCATTAAAACCTAAAATTACTATAATTTAACTTAAAAAAATCAAAGCAGCTATAATACAAACTAAATGATTTGATGAATAAGAATCTGATTTATAATATTGTCAGTTGGTCATTGATCTCAGCATTGGAAGTGTACAAATAAAGTTAAAATAAAGAATACTTCTAAGCCATTTAAGAAAATGCAATATAATAGCTCATAAATTATGTGCAGAGAGACTATAGACATTTCCAGTATATACATCCATTTTCAAATAATCCTAAAGTGTAAACTTTACAAAAGATAATCGTCCTTCTATTTCCACTCTTAAAATGCAGACAGTGAAACTTCCAGTGTGATCCAGATGACTTTTCCCCCCCAAAATAAGCAAAAATGGCAAAAATTTACAAGAGCAAGCACTGGCATAATTAGATTTTGACTAATTTAGTCTGTTAGTATTAGAAAAAGATTTGCTGAATTTTGTAGTCCATCAAGAGTCGGTCCTTGTTTCTTACGGTATTAATAAACAGCAAAGCACCACACATCTCAAAATATAATAAGAGTATCCAGGATGGCAGTTTATCATACCCCAGATGAAGGGAGACAGAAAAAAGTAGGTAGGGATTTTGATCCTTGTAAAACACAATGTTACTTTCTAAGGATGTTTCTAAGGATGGAATGAATGATGTCTATACCTAGTGACAAAAGAAGGGAAGCTAACTGACAGTACTCTGTCACTGAAACGGAAACAGGCCTTAGGGAAAGAAAAGGATTATAAATTTCTAGTTTAGACAATTCCAGATTTCCGATATTTACACAAGCAAAAAGAAAAATCACAATGTTCAAAATACGAGACGGAGCTACATAGGCAGGAGCCCTTTTACACCACCTGTTACTTGTAACCATCGAAAACTGTCCCCTAAGCTCTGCATTTATAATATTTCCAGCGGGAGATAACGACAGAGACCACCCCCACCATGGAGTAAAGGAAGTAAAATGCTTGTCCAGGGATTTGTCTGGTCTCAACTCTTATTTTAAAACTCGTCTCCAGGAAAGTGGACGACCTCATTTTTATAGCCAGTGCAGCAAAGAGAACTAGATACGTGAGCGTAAAAAGCAAAACAGCAGCAGCAGCAACAACCCCAAAACAAGCCATCTTCTCCTCCTCTGCCCCAGTCGCCTGTGCTGGAATTCATTTGCTGAAATACTGAAATCCTTAATACTGGCTTTAAAACAGGTATAACTGCCTGCACTGCTAGACTGTATCCTGGGTACCGTCTTGAACAAACTTCAATTGTGAAGTGGAACTCTCTTAAGAATGGAAGAGAAGGGCAGGGAAACCATTCAAAACATCTCTAGAATAGAACTGACAGCTCTCCTTTACGGGAACGTTCTGTGTGCTCAACATAGTTGCTTCTCTGGTTGAATGTTAGTCAAATCTAACTTTTCTCTAACTAGTATTTTTATTTTTCTTAAAAGGACATTTGTTAATACACTAACCGAGCCCACTGGGGAAATCTTGAGTAGAAAATCTGTGACGAGTTCCTGACTGTGTCACAGTAAGGCTGAAGACCAGCCAGAATGTTCGCCAGGAGAGGAAACCTGAAAATGTTGGTTTCCTTAAAAACCAATTTCCTGTTCAATTTGTTGGGGGGAAAAAGGAACTGTGTTGTGTGTGTCAGTGTTGCTGAAATACTGAACACGCAGAAGTAGCAAAGTAAACAACAGATCCCAGTATCCCATGGCTGCGTTAATGTCTAAATTTTTCTTTGTTTGGCTAAATCTGGAGGATAAATGTTACCCTCAGAACCCCAAGGTAATACCCACATTCACATTCTTAAGGCTTCTGCTTCCTTCTGGGGTTAACAAATAATTAATTCTTTTCTCTCTTCCTGATGCCCAGCAAGCAGAACAGTTTGCTTTTTTTGCCATGGTAGGTAATTATGTGGCAGAGCCCCCACGTTTCCGCAGTGGGGTTGTCTCACTGTCCAGACACAGATACGAGGGGGCACTTTTCCCACACTCTGGAGGAGATTCCGCAGCCCAGATCTCATGGCAGAGTGGTGCTCTCGGCCATATAGATGTGTGCCACTGGCCAGCTGCAGGCAACCAGACTGAAAATTCATGGCGGCTCCACTGACACCACCAGGGTGCGTCGTGCTCCTGCTGGGCAGGCTCATGCTGGTTTTCCAAGTGACACCACCCACCCAACACAAAAGAAGAGAGACACCGCTATTTGGCGTCTCTCACAAATGGGATCGTTGGTTTGTTACGAAACCAAAGGTGGCTTGGGATTATCTCAGGAGGTTAAAAGGAAGAGTGTATTCTATTATTGCAGCAAATGCAGTTACTGAACGCACGGTTCCCTAGTCTGCCTAGAGCACATTACCCGTCATCAGTTCCTGCATCCTCGGGGAGAGCGGGCAGGAGGAAGTGGCGGCGTCTCTCCGGGGGCCTTACTGCTCACCAGCCCCCTCTGTCAGCTTTTCTGTCTTCTTAGACTTCCTCTGCATTTGCTCCTGTTCCTTCCGCCTCAGCTTTTCTCTTTGTTTCTCCATCTTCTCTTGAGCCTTCCGAGCCTTCTCTAGAGACACTTTCATTTCCTTGAGTTTTTTTTTGACTACAGCTCGGTCCTGGGACGAAGCCATGCCAAGAGCCTAAGAAGGAAACACAGAGACAAACTGAATTTTAAAACCAGTGACCTCTCTGCTCACGATGAGGCTGCGATCACAGTATGCTCAAACTCAAGAAAGTTGTTTAAAAACAATCGAAGAGGTAGAGACTGAGCAAGAGGTGATTTCATTTGTCAAAAATCTACAAACACACCGTGGGGCTGAGCTTTATCTGTTCTTTTGTTCTTTGAAGTCCCTAGCACAGTACAACCTACACCTCATTAAGTAAATGCCTTCTGAACTGGTAATTAACGCATAAATGAATGAAAAAAGGGCACAATTCTGCTTCTTCAGCCTTTGGGCTGTAGACATTTACAGGCAAAAGTATTGCTAAACTCAATATTTTCAAAAGATCGGAGCGGGCACCTGCTGGCACAGAGGGCGCTGAGAAGGGCGGGAAGAATCGAAATGGCTTCCTTTCTGCCAGTGTGTGCGTTACAGTGAAGACCGAATAAGTCTTTGGGACCGGAATGCTCGTGTCAGCATGACTGGCCATTCTCTCCCTGTGGGCAGACCTATAAAGGAAGCCTGGTTATAATGAAGAGGTTGCTCGATGAGCTGAGAATTCAGAATAAGGGGAGTTGGCTATGTACTTTAAATGTTTCATGACCTTCAGAATCAACAGCGGGATGCATCCATCTCCCCAACAGGGACAGCCCTGTCAATGGGGCCTTCATATTCACAGGCTATTGATTGAGCGCTAACCTTTTCAAGACTGTCAGGAGACACTCATCTGCCCGTCAGCCCCGCAGGGGGCTGAGGCTGGGGGTGGTGAGTTGGCTGGAAGCTCCTTTTGCCCTTTTTCCATGGGGGTAGGTGCCAATTCAGTCTCTAAAAGAGATGGACTGGACAGGTGAAAATGAGAGTGTGATGGCAGGGGACAGAAGACATGGCCTGGACGTGGTGGGGGAGGAAAGTTCTCGGGAGAACACGGTCCCAGTTTTGCAGCGGTATGCAGGGAAAGATGAGGGTGGAGGAGAAACGAGTCAAAAAGGGAAGATTCATGGATCTGGCTTTTAACTGGAATGTGATGAGCGAGTCCACACTGGCCATCATTAACACTCACACTGCATGGGGAGTAAGCAGAGGTAATACATGGGCCGAGTGTTGCTGGGCGGAAGCAATGGAGTGAGCCTCTAGCTCTCCTACTCAGCAGCCACTGTCTGATTTAGAACTCCTGACGACTTTCCAAAACTTCATTTACTACTCAGAAATAATTCAGTGTCCTTTCTGCTGACCGTAGATGAGAATTAACCTGGTAGATACGCAGAATGCTCTTATCTAATGGAAACATTTTAGGTGCTACGAGTAACACAAGTTATACTTGGTAACCTAACACAAACATAATTCTTTACCTTAAGTTTATTTCCATCCAACTGCAGGAGTTGCTCTCCAGTGATGTTTTGGGCACTGAATTCAGAGACATACTGCTCCAGATTTAGGCTCATTAGCCAGTGAGAAACCTGCTGCACACTCCATTCATGAACGGCCCGATTCAGACACTGACTGTGTTTGGGAGACTGTCCATCGTCAAGGATCTGAGGTAGGAACGTTACGCAGGGTTGTTAAAGGACCAGCATGCTGTAGCTCAGTGGCATGTGATCCTATCAAAAGCCATTTCTTGCCTACCAGAGCCACATTTATTTTTAAAACCACTGAATAAGCTAATGGTTCTAGTTGTGTGTGTTAACACACACACACACACGTAGTTATTACCTCTACATTTTTTAGGTACTTGGAAAATTTAAAATTCCCTCAAATAAAGCAGCATTATTAATGTAGGAAGTTTAAGACTGAAAAACACACTCTAATGTTGCAAGTTTTCACATTTAAACACTTTGGAAAGATTATCAGGTGCAGAAAACAAATACTTCTTTAATCTCTATAATGCATCACTCTGCCTTGATCCTCCCATAAGACATCAGAGATATGTAAATACAAAATACATTTGAAAATATTGAGATAGATCTTTTACTTAGAAGAGGAGAGCATTATGTCCTCAAGCATTCTTAGGGAAACTTCCCAGCCATTATTTCATTTGAGCAGCAAGCAAACCTGTGAGGAAGGCAGGGCAGATAATTTCCAGAATAACTTTGAATAAATGAGGAAAGTGAGGCTCAGAAAGTCTACAGAATTGTCCAAGATCACGAGGCTAGTAAGTGGTAGCACTCAGCACTTAGTGGTCTGTTCCAAATCTCAGGCCCTGTCCACTGTGAATAGTGCAGAGGGCAGCGTGGTTCCTAGAACCATTTAGCTGAGAGGAGATGAGGGCGATGATAAATCCGGGAGGAGAGACGGGAGTCACCTCTAACCATGCAGGGAGCAGGGAAGAGGGGGTGGGGAAGGCGGAGATGAAGGCAATGGAGATGAAACGCGATGGGCTGTGTCAGGGTAATGGTGATGGGAGATGTGCAGAGGACTCAGAGGTGGAATTCGGAGATGCTCTGGACTCAGGAATGTCTTTTCAGTGAGAGACAGACATGAACTACTGAATACAAGGAAACCCTCCACAATAGAGGAAATTTTCCTGTATTGTCTGATTGTAAATCATTGGCCAAGAAAGAACAGAAGCTTCAGACGATACCACGGAAGCCACCACACAGCCCACTGAGCGCTCACCTCGTCATCTATCATATCCAGGCTCTGAGTGAGAGAGCAACAAAGGAACCAAAAAGAGAAGTGTTACAGAAACAGCACATACACATCTCAGCACAGAGTTTCAGTACAATTACAATCATGCCAAGCCTGAAGAATTGGGCAGAAACGTTTAAGAGGGAAAAAAGTTTATAAAGCAAAAATCATGTTAGAAAGAAGTTAATTAAGAATGAATATTTATGATGAAAGTGTCTTTACTTGCACTGCTTCTCCCCCAGCCCCACTCCTGTTCCCAACACTGGTATTTTTCCCTTCTGCTTGTCTTTTGGGGCACTAAGTTGATCACTAATGTATTTTCCTGCCTCTTTCGTCCACATTTATCTCCTGAGAATTCGTCTCAGTGCTCATCCGATCCTAGCTTCTAAATAAGTGGCTCTTCCTCGTTTTCCTTCCTCTCCTCTCACCACTGCAGTGATTCTCATTTGGGGCTGAAAATCAGAATCTTGGGCAGGGATGGAGGGAGGTTCAGGAGAAAGGAAAGGGAGTTCTGCAAACTCCCACGTGACTTCTGGGCCTCCCATCCCCACCCCTCTGTTTAGAGTCATCCCATTTAAATCGAAGAAAGGCCAAGGAGGTCCCCGGACAGCTTAAAGAGGCCCAGAAACAGTGCTTCGCTCTCATGTTGAGACAGAGAGGGAGCGAAATCACAAAGATTTCGTATCAAAAATCAAACCACAGTCCCTATGATGTACATGCAAAGTCTACCTAAAACTGTTTTCCTGGAGATAGTTCACGGGTAGAACATACGAGCCAAGGAGGCAGCTCTGTCCTAAATGCCTGCGCGTACCTCATCTGACGAGAGAGCCAAGGACTGGGAGAGCCCAGGTGCTTTGGGTTCTGCTCCCAGGCCGCTCAGGTCTGCTGAACTGGTACTGCTGGGACTGAAGTCATCGTTGAAGGTAAAGTTCTGAAAAAAACAAATAAAGCTTGGTGTTAAATGAGCAGTGAGTGAACCAGAGGTAGGTATGTTTGCAAGCTCTAAAAAGGTTCTTTTTAAGTAATCTTAGAAGAAATTCATGTTTGGTTTGGTGATGACCTTCAACCAGGCAGTGGTTGAGAACACTGCGCGTTTTGTGCTTGGTAGGGAATTCTGGGCACTTTCTCCATCAGATGAAAGGATAGGTGCATTAGAGAAATGATTTTTCAGTCTCTCCTCAAGGGTACAGCATTCATTATCCTCTGCCACTGCTCAGAGGAGTAATATTAATAAGCCTATCTCCCTTGACCCTAATGGTGATGAGTAACAGTGTAAGTAAAAATACAAGATGGTGTGGTGAGCCTGAGTTATTAGGAACAGATGGCAATCCGTATTAGAAAGGTAGCTTGAGCACCCCCTGGGAAGGATCGCTTGCTGTTGCCCGTGATAAATACTGTGAGAAATGGCAGATCCTCTCCTGGATGTAACCTTCAAGACGATGAGTTCTGGGGAGGTCACAGTCTAACAGTACCCTAGTAGTTACACGCTACGATACAACACACCAGCGGAGTGCCAAAGAGGCTGCAGCATGAACAGACACACTTTCCAAATAATCACCTGGGGGTAGGGGGTCTGCAAGTGAAACCTCCCCAGAACTTCATTAAAATGTTCAGTGGGTGTTAAAGTCAAATAAATTCCCAATGACTACATAGCTGCTTCTGTGAAAACATTTTAAACCAAACCTGGAGTCTCCAGTGCAGGATAGTGGTAGAATGATTGAAGCAACATTTAGATTTCTCAGATCCTAGACTGAAACCGATTCAAGACCAAAGTGGCCTACTGCTGCCAAAACTTCTGCTAATCATTCTAGAAGGACTGGCTTCCCAGGAACTCAAAGCACTTAACCAACACCATCTTGTTTCCTATTCCACTTCCTTAGGAATCGGACTGTTAGTTTTCTGTTAGGTCCCCTTGCATTGGGTTTAGTCGGTTGTCAAGAATAAGTACCATGCCAGAGGCTACAGAATTCAGTCCCAAACTCCAAGGTTTGCTACAACTTCAGAAAAGGAGACTAAATCAGAGCACACGGAGCTAGGCTAGTAAAACATTTCAGCAGGAGAGCACTTAACACAGAACATTACCATTTGATACTGTCAATGGAGATATGACCCCAAACTCTGTCAAAACCTTATGAGCTGTGGACCTCAAGAAAAGAATTAAATCAAGTAACATTCATTAGCCGTTTCTGTGAGAATGAAAAGTGAACACAGATAAAAGGAGACCAAACAACATGTTAGCCACCATATGTTTCAATAAAATGTTAGGTTAAGGTTTGCAGCGTCATGCTGGAAATAACCATCATGCATTTAAAAACAAATCAGCATATAATTCCTAATTCTGCTGAAGTTGAAGAACTTTGGTGATAGAATTATAACAGTTTTTCAACATAGAAGTTTGATTTAAAAGAAGTAAGTGAGGGTGCTATGTCAGCATCGGTTTGTCTGACAGAGTTTCATTTAGATATACTGAACACATATTCAGCCCCAAATTTATTTGTTTTCCAGTAAATCTTGAAGAGCACAGCAAAAATAGGTTTATAATGTAATTTAAAGTGGAATACTTGGTAAACAGATCTATCATACTGTTCCATGATTCAAATGCATCTTTCCCAGCATGGCTTAACTGTCAAACTGAGATTAAATAGCAGTATGTGAAAAGACGAGGATATCAAAGATTAACGTACAATCTAGAATGGAACAGTATTAAAGAAGGTGATGGTTAAATGAGGCTTGCTTTCTCCCCCACACAAGAAACACCATGCATCGTTTATTGCAGTGTTATCACATTGGTTTCGCGGATCCAGAGTACACACACAAGTAGAGAGTGCTTTCCAAAGACTGAAGAGGAGGAAGGGTTGGGGGCTTTCTTGTTTGTGCTTTTTTAATCCATGTGTTTTCTACCTTGGACCCCTTTTTATCAGAAATTAGAGTTTCAGGAGAAGGCTGAAGGGGACTTGTAGTCGAAGGCAGGTTCTTGAAGGAATAGGATCCTTTCCGGCTTTCGTTAAACCACGAGAAAGGCAGGCCAGTTGAGCGAGTGGAGGCCTGAGCGGTGGCGGCTGGCTTCGGTTTCCAGTGGTCCAGCCTGCCTCTGAAGAGCCTGGATCATGAAAGGAATGGGTGTGTCAGACAAAGAAAGAAAAGAGGTAAAACTCAGTGAACTGAATTCTGAAAGGACTCTGAATATATTTCAAAGTAACAGTTTGAGAAACTATTCTACACAGCAGATAAGAACAAAAATTCTGCACTTTTTGACTAGAACACTAATCTTAATGGTTATCTTTTTTGCATCTAAATGGATTCTATAACAATGGTCAACATTTTGGTATCGCTATTGCTGTGGTGAATTTTATGAAATGTGCCTAATAAATGTATGTGGATAAATTAAAATCAGGGAGGGGCACAGTCGTCGAGGCACTGCTGTTAAGTTAATTACCACAGCATTGCCTGTATTTTGGCCACCTAACAGTGCCTCACCACTAGTGACATGAGTTCATAATCAGTGTTCTTTCCTGGTCTCCTCTGAACACATGTTCCCAAGAGTCTGAGACTTTAGAAAGTGATATATTTAAATAATACGAAAGTTTCTGGGCTCATGATACTTTCAGCAGAACACACACCTTACTGGTTTTTCATCATAATCTTAATGCCTTATTAGAGGAGGAGCACCAGACCTGAGGTTCTAACACCCTACTTGGGGGTCCAGGGTTTTTCACCTCCTGTGTACATAGCCTTGGACCTTCCCTCAGCCTCTATTTTCCAATCTATAAAAGGTGGATATTTTCTGTATCTCATACATGGTCGTTAAGAATTAAATGAGATGTGTGTGAAATTACTTTGAAGACAGTAAAAATATAAAGGTCTATGCTTATTGTTTAACATTTAAAGGATTCAAAGGCATTTGAGAAGCAGGTTGAAAACAGATTGTTTTCCGTAATGCAGATACCTTCATAGAGCTGAGGCAGGAATGTGAAGTAGTTTCTGTGCATTTTGGAGGAAGTCACCCTCAATGTGTCCGAGTGATATTTGAAGCAATGCCTGTTGTTTGTTAGCTGTTGATGTCATGACAACAAAGAGATTCTCTTTCAATGAAAAGTGCCTCAGCACCATGGCTGGACATTTACATCCCACATATACACTGAGTGTCAGCTTTCTCCCATCTCATGTCACATTATTTTGAAACATTATACATTTCAAACTTATGTAAATAATACAACTCCTAACAATTCCTGTTCCTTTCCAACAATTACTGTGAGATTCAAGTGGGACAATTAATGTAAAAACCATCTTGTAAACTCTAAAGCAATATACAAAGGATTATGAGAATGATAACTAAAGAGAATGGAGAAGTCAGCACAGTTTTGGTAGAATACTGAGATCATAGGTTGGATGAGTAAAACTATGTCACACTAAACATACCAGAATATCTGATGGTTTTAATAGTGTATCTCTTAAAAAAAAAAGAGGTCTGAAAGGATAAAAGAGACCAACCAGAGATGTGTCAACCTTCAATTTCATCCTAAAGTTTAAACTAAAAAAACAAAAAACAAACAAACAAAAACTTGTACCCTTAAATCCACTTACTTACTGTCAAAAAATGGGGGTATAATAACTAAACTTAAGAAAGCATGCTAGCAAAGGCAGGCTGGCCTTCTGTAAGAAGCACTTTATTCCTGGGTCATGGATCAGTATAGTGGTCCCAAATAAGTCTGATACAGATCAGCTGGGGCAGCTGTTCTAATGTGGAGTCTGGGGCACCCAGACACACCGAATTAGAATTTGGGGGAGAGGGAAGAGATGATCCAGCAACTATATTTTAAAATACATGTCTGAGCTTACTCTTAAAGTTTTTAATATCTATATTTATTAATATTACCTGAATGCAAATCTGAAATTGCTAGAGCGGAAACAGGTTATTATTTACAGAAAATTATTGCACTGATTTCCCCATATCTTAATTCCCTTTCTAGGGTGACATGAGAACCAGTTGTCATCCCACACTTGGTCTACATTATAGGGGAGGAATCTGAAAAATACGACTATGAATGGTTTTATAGGAGAAGAACGGCTGTCCCTCTCTCTGAGACAGGGAGAGAAAACTTATCTCTTTAATGTGAACAAATTCAAATGGGGACGAATCTTGGGTTCTTACCCTTTGGAAAGTAATATATGTCAGAGGGAGATACAACTACGTCTCCTGCTTTACAGCCCCAGAACGTCCCCATGGAGCTGGGTCTCAACCCCTCTCCCCATCCCCATTCCTTGAAAATGTAATCATGCACCTCTGGGGAGGTAAACATCTCTGCAGGTACGTCTACCGCTGTTTTATTTTCTGTGAAGGTACTGTTGAAGATGTCCTATTTTAAGAACCAATCTTTTTGCTTTATCTTATTTTGCTCTATCTAATTTCTTTTTAAAATAAATTGTATTGTATCATATGTATTTTTGTGTATAAACAAGTAATATTTGGAACAAAGAGGGATACGTATAGATAAAAAAGAATGAACAAATGAATACGTACTAATTTACAGACCAACTAAATAATGTTAGAAATCAGAGTATTTGTTTTTCATGGAATCATACAGATAAACACTAGCCAACAGAAATATAATATGAACCATATATATAAATTAAACTTTTCTACTAGCCACATGAAAAAAGGTAGTATTAATTTTAATAATTTAACCCAAAATATTCAAAATATTTATTTCAACACATAATCAATATTATAAAATTATTAATAAGATATTTCATATTCTCTTTTTTCCATACTAAGTCTTTGAAACTGAGCATGCATTTTCTCCTACAACGCATCTCGTGTAGACAAGCCACATTTTAAGTGCTCAACACTATGTTTGACTAGAGGCTAGGCTAGCATACTGGATGGTGCAAGTAGAGGTGGGTCGGGGGAGTTACAGACTATGGAGTTTTAATCCACCTCACTTATTTTTTGGTAGGAAACCAAGGCCCAAGGAATTCAGAGACTTACCTATGGCAAAGTCAGAATGGATACTGGATTCCAGCTCAGTGTTTTCTCCACTGTTCACGCTTTTAAGGTGAACGCAGATTCACTTCCACAGAGGAGTGCCATCTCCCGTCCCCACATTCTTCCCACCCGCCACCACCTAGCCTCGTTCTGAGACACACATATCCGCTCACAGGGCTTTCCGCTCAGTGACTGAGCTGGGAGCTCCTCCTACAGGGCTCCAAAGCAGACACTCCCCTGGCACCAGTGGCTCTTACTCTAGAATTTAGGAGACAATTCTATCCTGCTATTTGGTGTGTGCTTTAAGGGACGAACAAGCTCCGACAACTAAGTGTTTCCTGCTTTTTTAATCTGCTATGTTTCCCATTTAAACACTGAGCACACATTTGAAAAGGACAGAACCAAACCGTATTTCTTTGCAGGGTTTATTTCTTCTTCCGATTTTACCCTCATTTATTTGTCTCATGCCGGTCACGTATTTATGTCTCCACAAGGAGTATAATAAACTCTTTACTCTTTGGGAAGGAAAAAACTAAAACCAAAACCAACTTTAGCAAATGTCTGGCCTCTTTAAAGTCTAACAGCTTCAGGTTATCACTGATTGAGTGACCTCATCAGATTTTTACAATCTTGCAAGAACTGGATGAGAAGCCTAAGAGGTGAGATAACTGACTCTGTGAATCTCTCCCTCCCTTTTCTGAGGAAACCTCACAGGGTGATGAGTTTGTTCCCAGTCCTTCTCCACAACAGCAGTGGGACCCTGCAGCAGCTGCTGCGCACCACCCGCCTGCACTCGGGCTTTGGGAGACCAGCTCCACTGCGTTAAGCTCCTACTGGGCAGTAACTGTGTTCATGGAATATGTTTCATGAGGTTCTGGGCCCATTATCAGTCTACGTAGGAGAACAGAGACCGTCATTCGATTTGATTAGTGTTAACCAATTACTGCAATAGCTCAAAAAATTATTTTTTTGAAACAGAAAAACTCCTCCTTCTTTCCTGCTGACTGTTTCAATTACATTCATTCCTTTTGGTCCTGTCAACATTCTACTGTAATTACAAATAATTATAAAATTATGATTCTAATCGAAAACTATTTTGCCACATTTCACACTGGAAACTGCTTGTGACTACTGAAGGAGAGAGTCTGCAGAGTTAATGGGTTGAAATACAGCTGGCTGGGCCGGCAGGCGAGAAACCTGGCTGGCTGCTGGTTCAAAAGCTGCCGTGAGCCATGGTTAACGTGCTGACGACAGCCCACCCTCGGCTGTCTGTGATTTTGCCAAGAGTGAGGTTAGGGCTTACCAACACAATCAAGGTTTGCCTGATTTTCAACTCGAATTTATCTAAGGACATGATGACTCTAGCTAAGAGGACGAAGTTCAGTAAGACCTCCTCCTCTGCCCTCCGCGGGGTGCCTGTGCTTACTTCCTCGTAGGGGGAGCACAGTGCGACTTCAGAAGCATCCAAGTTTCTCTCCCACTGTGCATTTGGGCACCTCTCTCTCCCTTAAACGGTTTCACTACTTGTCGTTTTTCTCCCCTGAGTATATTTGAGAGTTTTCTATTCTTAATTTTAAGGCACAAAGCAGACAGGTTTATATTTCTCACTTCAAAACTGTGCAAAGTTAAAAATCGCTTTTGAATTGCATTATGGCCTTATTTTTCCTGAGATCCCTGTCCTCAAATGTAAACAGAGCTTTCTACCCTTTCTCCATTGTACAGCACAAAGGAAACCCGTGCTAACAAAAAATAATTAACTTTGGAATTCTCTCTTCTCATCGCCCACCTTTCTCCCCGTTCTCCTGTTACCCTAGGGAGAGGGCAGAATTTCTTACCGAGGTGTATGCCAGAAAAGAGGAAAATAAAAAGGGAAACATCTGGGCACAACCTATAAAATGGATAAATGGTCCCCAAATAATTTTACATTCTTTTATTCTTAGCATTTTTGTCTGTTTCTTCCTTAGTCTATGCTCTTGGAATGAGTCCCAAATTCATAAAGACATGTAAAGAAACATCACTAGGCGCTTAAGTAACTGGAGGTAATGTGCAGTGTTAGAAAGACATCTGGACAGCGGCACAAGCCCCAGCTAATTGACATTAATGTCTGCTGCATAGTCCTGGGCTAATCAATTAAATTCTGTGAAAGTGAAGTTCTTCATGACTAAAGTATGGCCCTCCCAATCTTACTGTAAGGATTAAATACAATGACAAATATAAAACTCCTCTGTAACTTGCAAATAGTAATCATCATCATCATCATCATCATCATAATAGCAAATTGTTACCTTCATTACTATTTTTGAATGCCTCCTATGTGCTAGGTGCCATTTTAAATGCTTTATATGCAAACTCATTTAATCCTCACACTAATGTTATGAGGTAGCTACTCTTATTATCCTCATTTCACATATCATATGAGAAAACAAAGGCACAGAGGTCCAAGATTTGTCCAAGATTTTAAAGACAGCAACTTGAAGAGGACTGATTGAAACCCAGGCAGTCAGACTTCATTCAGAGAGAGCTCTATGCATTACTGTCTCCCTATACAAACCTAAGTTTAAAATTACGTAATCTCAGAATAAAACTGCGGAAGTTTGACAACATGTTATCCAGAGCTCACTTCTCTGCAGGAAAGTCTTTACTGAACAGTAAGCATATTGATGGCGCCTGTAAAAGTCCATTTAATAGCTGAGTCTAGTGAGAGAGGGTGGTCTTTCTTACACGCATTTGGGCAGAATAGCCTTGAAAGTCAACAAGGTACTTAAATGCAAAATTACCCTTCCAAACTTAACAGAAAGAGAAGAAACAAGTCTTCTGGGTAGCCAGGCAAACAAGCTGAAATATACCTAACTGCATATCACATATATTTAAGCTCTATTTAGATAAACATCTATTGAAACTGTTGATGTGACCATAATTCTAAGTTAAGCCAATGGATATACCTGAGGCCAGGTGTAGGCTGTAACTGGAGTAAGACAAATACGAATCGTGTGATTTTTCTTTCATGTCACCTCTAGGTGTATCACTCAGCATGAAGATACTGACCACGGATTTTGACTAACAATGGAAGGGGGCCGAAAGTTTAGATACAGGGATACATTAATGTTCTCAGTCACCCACCCATACCTGCTACCTGGAGAAAACCTATTGACTTCTTTCTCTTTTTCCTTCCATTTCTTTCCCTTGTTGGAATTCCTTCGCAAAGGTGCCCTATAATGACAGCACACAGTCAGAAAGAGGAATTTGACATTTTCTCCTTTAATCCTTCTCTTACAGAGTTTGCTTTTTACTTCATGAAGTGCTTACCCCAGATCCACAAACTTCCGCTTAATTTTTCCTCCTCGCACCACCAATGAACTGGATGCCCTCAGTGACCTGGGACCTTTGGCAACGTCTAGGATATACACATACGTGAAAAAAAAAAACAACTATTATCATTTCTGAAAAACCATGAGTGAAAAGTCAGTGCATGTCTGAATCTAAGGGGTTTGCCTCAATTCCTAATTGTAAGAGAAAATAATGGATACCTTTTTCTAAGATACAGGATACACGAGTATGTAGAGGAACATTCAGTTAAGCCAGGAGAGGTTTGTTAGACAGAAGCCCAATACTTGTCACAAAGAGTTTTAGCTTTAAACATATTAGAATGAAAATACAAAAGCAAGAACAAACACTATCAAATCATCCTTTACATTCAAAACAGGGACCAAAGGACTTTCCTTTTGTTCCTTCTCTAGTTTCAACTGTTTGCTTCAAACGTCTGGGCTCTGTCCTCCATGCCTCTCTTGCCTTTGGGTTATAGTGCTGTCCGACAGGAACCCAGCCCACTTTCCCCATGTGTCCCAAGTCCAGTAAAGAACGTCACCCCTGAGAATCTGGGAGATTTAGGAAGAAAGTGAGACTCAAAGCTTTCCCTTCTGGGCTGCCCCTTGCTAATGGCCTGTGGCCAGTCCTGGGATAGAGGAGGTGGAACATGGGGGAGACTTCTTAAGCAGTTCAGCTATAAAACATTTGTATCTTTGAAAGGTCTTTCTCAGAAGTTGGGTTGGAGCACTACTTGGCTGGTCTCCTGTGATGTGGAAGACGCCAAAACCTCCTCAGCGTTTGGAGCTGAATGATCTTTGCCTCTCTGAATTACGCTGGCCCTCTAAAGCGCAGCAGCTGCTGGGAGATGGGGACACTTGAAATGATGCCAAAAACCCATCAGAGGAGAGGCTTTGCCAGCGGAATTCAATGTCAACTGCAGGAACTAGATTCTACCAGTGGCAGTTATTCCATCCGGGACAAGGTAGACAAATCCTAAGGCTCTACTTGGAACTATTTAGCGAAGAATGCTATTTGGTGTTGTGTTTCAGCATATCCAGTTATCTGAGATCATTAACTTTGCTGTCTCTGGTGTCTTAACATTGATGCATGTTTGTGTATGAAACTGCTCTTTCCTAATTGTCTGTTGGTGTTCGTCAGTCTGTCTCTATCTTTTAAAAATGAAAAAACATTACAATCCCAGCAACTTACTGGCATGGAGTATAGAAAACAGTTCTCCCAAGAAAGTGTTCAATTACCCTTGCACGTTAATTTTGCTTACGCTTTTTGTCTGTTTCAGGGGAAATTTCTAAACAGATACAACTTACACATGAAGTGCACATAGTTCTCATTTAGGAGTCTATGTTCAAAACTCTTGAGGAAGCACAGGATATTGAAAAACTCAAGATTTTTAGCAATAGTTTTAGTTAATGATATTCAGATCACAATAAACAATTCCTTGAAATGTACATAATGAAATAGAAGAGTCAGAAATGTCCACGTCAAAATCCATTTCTAGCCTCAAATATTTATTTATTATGGCTATCTGCATCATTACTCTTTGGTTAACTGAATTAAACAGCCAAAGATGTGACACATTCACATAAAAAAATCTACAGACATGGCACAAGCTCCTTATAAGATAATTTTGCTAATGGACATTAAAAAAAAAGGCAGATTTCAATTTTTCTTAACAAAGAAAAGAAAGTACCAGATTCTTCCAAATCAATTCTAGAGCAACTCTTAATGGCTAAGACTATGCACAGTTAAAAGGAGAGTGCCTTATTACTTTCGGAAATAAGGTGGCTGGGAGATGTTTTAACAAGAGGTGAGAGGACCAGATGAGACAATGTATGTGACGACACTCTGTAACCTATTAGTGTGGCACTTATTTGGACATCTTGGGACTAAAAGCCTGTTTTTGCCCATCAGAGCCTGCTGCTAGGCAACCTCACATCATTATCTCGACACATTTGCCAAAGTGTGTTCCAAGGAACACTTAAATGAATGCTTTCAAAAGGCCAAAGAGACAAGATTAAGTAATAATGCACTTCCCCACTTTAAATCAACCAAATCCATCTTTAATGCACATCAGAACTTCTAGTCCACATAAAAACCAAAATTAGTTTCGTATGATTTCAGGAAAAGAAAAAGAAATGTGACATTTTTTGGGTTTTGTTAGTTATTTAGCTGTATATAAAATCTCCATCAGGCTTTTTGAAATCTCTCCAATACTAATTGCTTGTGTATTCCACAAGCAATTAGAAGTCCAAGTTCTCAAGGCAGGTGCCTCAGCTTTAAGCTCTGGCAACATGGTCTTCATTTTCAAAGGTAATAGTTGACCTCCTGATAGCTAAATACTAAGGCCTTTTCTGGGACTGCATTCTTCTTAGTATCACTGCAATAAGACCCTTGACTACCTCTTCTTTTATTACAGGGACTCCCAAATCTCCCTCTCCGCCCAGACATCTCTCCTGGGCTCAAGACTTCCTCTACCAAAAATGAGTTAATCATCTTTCCTTCATAATGTTTCTAATTTCCTATTTTCTATTAATGACAAGACCATGTTTCCTGAGGCTAGAAACCCTGTGATCAGCTTTGACTCCTCACTCTCTCCCCCTGTATCTGGTCAACTTATGTTTCAGAGGTTCTCGCATCATTCTTTCCTGCATTGTCTCTTGCTCCTCAGAGGTTATCACCCCACCGTGTTTCCTAACTCATCTTTCCTGTACCTAGTGTCTTCTCCTTTTTACTCCTCTGCTCAAACACCTTGTGGTTCCCCAGCTATATGGTGAGGTATCTAAGGTATTTAAATTCTAGAGCTATAGACTTAACCTACCTGTTCAGTTTTCCATGCAACCACTCTACCCTGAATAAACAAATGGCTTCTGGCAGGCTGGGGCAGCCCCGTTCCTTACGTTCCATCTTAGGTCTGCCTGTCTCTACCAACACCACCTCCCTGCCTTACCTATCCTTTTTGTTGTTTCAGTCCTTCAAGGGTTACTCTAATTGCACATTCTCTGTCGAGTCTTATTTACCAATCTCAGCTAGAGGTAAACTTGCCTTCCTCTCAGCAATGATAAAATTTACTATTTTATATATAAGGGCCTAATGCAACATATTAATAGTAAATAATCTTGTAAAGATTTCTACTTGCCAGGACATTAATTCAACAAATATTTCTGAAGGCATGTTCTGTGTCATGCAATGTGCTAATGGCTAAATATAAACTTAAAAGAATGACCAAGCCACAAGGAGAAAACTGATAGTGCTTAATTTACTTTACTTGACATTGTCTGAACAAAGGCCCATTGCTATGTACATCTAGGGACCAAAACTTTAGTATTAGGCTACTCAAATAGTAGACATGATGCGACTTATCTTCATGCTTTCTCCTGCCATATAACCTGTTTTACAAACCTCTGGGAATAATCTTTTACTTTGTCTAGTTTTAACTGAAATGGGGTCAGATGTTTATCATTTAGCCATGCATTATTTCTATCTTAGTTTCTAGTGAGGTCCTACAAGTATGATAGCAAAATGATGACGTGTGAATGCAGTACTGACACAATTTAGAAAACACCCAACTTCAATTAGGTGTTCAATAAAACCAGAGCATTAGCCTCAGGATAGCAATCAGCTATAGCTGTAACTTAATTATTACCTTTCGAAGTAACTTGCTAGACCAAAAGTAATGGTATATTAATTTTAAAAAAATCTAGATAAATGGCAACCAATGACTAAGACATTTTCAGAGTTTATCCAGCAATGTTGAGTGGAAGGATATATATGTCTAGACCACAAGTCAGCAACCTTTTTCTGTAAAAGGCCAGAGAGTAAATATTTTAGGTTGTGGGCTACTCTCTCCATCACAGCTGCTCAGCTCTGCTACGGTGGTATGAAAGCAGACTATACAGAACTATATGAGTGTGCCTGCATTCTGTTAAGATTTTCTTTATAAAACAGGTAGAGGGCAGATTTGGTTTGATGACCTCTGTTCTAAAAGACTGCATTGATTATCTACTGAGACATACTTATTAATTCGTCCAAGAAACCTATTACGTATCAATCACATGCCATATTCTTT